GGAGGGGCACGAGCACTCCAGTAGGGCGGGGCTTGGGGGGAATGGAGAGGCACGGGCATCTGTAAAGGGCGAGGATCTGGGCACAGACTAGGGGAGGGGCATGAGCACCTCAGCAGGGCGGGGCTTTGGGGGGCACGGGCACCTGGAAAGGGCGGAGCTGTGCGGGTCGTGTTTGGAAGGACTCTCGGGTGGGAGGGCGGTGAGGGGCGACCAGAGCGCCCTAAAAGGACGCGGGTTCCGAAGACACGAAAAGGGCCGGCGAATCGCGGAGCGCTCAGGCTCAGGCGGCCTGTGGGAGGTCGGGACGGCCCGTAAGGGGGACGCCGGGCTGTAAGGGTTCCAGGAGGGTCGCGGGGCTGTGAGGGTCGCCGGAGTGGGCAGGGCTGTAAGGAGCGGGCTGTCCCGGGGGGGCAGAGCTGTGAGAGTGGGCGGGCTGTGAGGGTCGCAGGTTGTGAGGGTCCCAGAAGGGTCGCGGCGGGCTGTGGAGAGGCGGGAGCCGAGAAAGCCCGCAGGGAAGCCTTTAGGGCTGGGCTGAGGCCCTTCGGGACGGGGTCCGAGAGAAGCCTGTCTGCTGCGGATTCAGGCCACGTTATTTTAGGGATTCGCAAGCAGAAAGCGGCGCTGAAGCCGCCAGCCGCGAGGGAAATGGGGCTCACCACCGCCTCAGGTCATCGCAGCGGCTCACTACGCATGCGCGACCAACGGCCTCAAGGAAGCCGCCAAAATCCCTGCGCCGCCGGCGGCGTCCGCGCACCGAGAGGCGGAAGTGGGCGGGGCCCCGGGCTTTCCGTACCGCCCCCGCTTTCCGGCCACGCCCCCTTCCTGGTTACACCCGCTCGCTCCGCGAGGCACTCCCCCTTCGCTGAGGGCTGCTGCCCAAGTGGGCCTCCCCGGGGTGGGCGGGCAGTGGGCGCCTCTCCCTGCAGGCTGGGTGTGCCCGACGCCTGCGGTTTCCGGTGGGAGGATGCGGCTCGCGGGCGCCCGGCTCAGCTCACACTCTCGGAGGCCCGGGAGCGGGAGATCCCGCCACCGCCCTCGAGTCCCCTGATTCTCCCCATTCCACCGGGTCTAGCGTGGGGACCCCCCCTGACGTCCCCAGGGTACCCAAGTCTGGCGCTGAGTCCACTTAGGGAACTTGACTCTTGTTCTCCACTTCCCAGACTCAGGTTTTCAGCTTCCCCAACTCTTCCTAAGACCAGGGTGGGGTCCCCTTTCCCTACACCCCCAAGAGGAACACATGGCCCCCCCCAGCCCCTACTTTTTTCACTCAGTGACCCAGACTTTCCTACTTCCGCGGGGATCCGAGTTCAGACACCCAGTCTCTGTCCGTCTCCGAGACTTAAGTTTGAGACTACTTATTCCCCTCTCCCAGGAACCCTCATTTTGGATTCCCAGCTTTAGCCTTGAGACCCAATAATTTGCTCCTTCCCCAATGTTTAGAGACCCTGAACTAGGATACCCCAGTACTGAGTCCACTTGGGGCCCTAATAGCTGATAAACCTAGCACATAGGGTACTTACGGTGTGCCAAGCATTACTCCAAGAACTACCCTTTGATGTATTTACTATTACCTCTATTTTAGATGAGGAAACTGAGGCACAGAGAAGTTATTAGTAACTTGCCCCAAATCACACAGCCAGTGAGTAAAGTAGCCTGGATTTGAATCCAGCCAGTCTGGCTCTAGAATCTGTGCTATACTGGTACCCCTCGCTTCCAGGTCTCCCAGGGAGCCACCTACCCACTTAATTGCCCATTCTTCACTCTCTCAGGGATCCCAGATCACCAACAACTAATTCACACCCAGTTCTGGCCCCTTCACATACCCAGATGTCATCCAGTTCCCTTCCCTTGCAGGGACGCAGGATTTGAGTTCTACTCTCAATTTATGAGGACCCATGACACCTGGTCTCCTCCCAAGAGACTCAGGTTCATAGTAGTCATCACCCCCCCCAACTTAATATCCCAAGAATAAATAATAATAATAACGGTTAACATTCAGTCTCTAGTTCTACACTTCTGTTAAAACCTAATGGCTTCCCACTGTACTTAGAATAAAATCCAAACTCCTCCCTTAGTCTTCAAGGGCACCCTTTGATTTCCCTTCCCGCCACTCCCCCTGGCTCCCTATGCTCCAGCCACACTGATCCTTCTGTCTGTTCCCCAAACAACTTGAGTTTGTTCTCAAGAGGCTTTTCGTTTCCTCTTCTATCCAGCATTCAAATGACTCCTGTCTCCAGGTTTCAACTCAAATGTCACCTTCTCCAGGAGGCCTTCCCTGATTACCCTGTTTTAAATAGTCTCCCCCTACCCCATCATAATCTCCAACACTCTATTTTATTTCCTTCAAAGCAGTTATCACCATCTGAAACTTGTCTCCCCTCTCTGCCCTTTTTTTTGAGACAGGATCTCACTATGCCGCCCAGGCTGATCTCAAACTCCCGGCCTCAAGCAATCCTCTCACTTCAACATCCCAAAGTGCTGGGATTACAAGCGTGAGCCACCACATCCAACCTATCTTCATCACTGGTATGTATTCTCTTTACTGTCCATCTCCCTCTACTAGAAAATAAACTGCATAACAGCAGGTCTTGTGTCTATTTTCTTCTTCTTTTTTTTTTTTTTTTTTT